GCAGAGCGGCTGGGCCCGTGAGCCATGGCCGCTGAGCCTGCGCGTCCGGAGCCTGTGCTCCGCAACGGGAGAGGCCACAAAAGTGAGAGGCCCGCGAACCGAAAAAAAAAAAAAAAGTAAAAAAAAAATGATGGCTTAGATATACACTGGTTGACATAGAAAGATATTCTCAATGTATTGGATTGAGTTATTTAAACAGCATGTTATAAAACACTATAAATATTCAAATGTTCTAATCTATTTTACAATGTCTTCATTACTTTTTAGTTACTTTTGTAATAAAATAACTAGTCGTATTGTGGATAATAGATAAATGAGCAAAGTACTGAGATAATTCACAAATGAAGAAATAAAAATGGCCAATAGGGACTTCCCTGGTGGCACAGTGGTTAAGAATCCACCTGCCAATGCACGGGACACAGGTTCGTGCCCCGGTCCGGTAAGATCCCACATGCTGCAGAGCGGCTGGGCCCGTGAGCCATGGCCGCTGAGCCTGCGCGTCCGGAGCCTGTGCTCCGCAAAGGGAGAGGCCAAAAAAGGGAGAGGCCCCCGTACCCAAAAAAAAAAAAAAAAAAGAGTGTTTGGGGAGATAGGAAGGGCAAGTGCAGAAGTCCCGAGGCAGACACTGAGCGTACGTGTTCAGCAAACAGACAAGGCAGTGGGCTCGCTTGTCCTGAGTGAGGCCAGGGAGGTGGGCAGGGGTTGATCTCGGGAATCTTTGTAGGCTGTGGTCATGATTTTTATCTCAGGTGCGCTAGAAACTGCCGAAGGCCCCCACATCAATCTTAAATTTATTTATTTGTTTATTCATTCATTTATTTATTTATTGGCTGCGTTGGGCCTTTATTGCTGCCCGCAGGCTTTCTCTAGTCGCGGCGACCGGGGGCTGCTCTTCGCTGCGGAGCATGGGCTCTAGGCACGTTGCTTCAGTAGTCGTGGCACGCTCGGGGGCTCAGTAGTCCCCACATCAATCTTGATACCCAAGGAATTTTAATGATAGAGACACAGGCCCCACCCTTGGAGACTTTGCTCAGGTGCTCTCAGGTTGATGAGAAAGTGAGCCCAGGGACACTCGGAGAAATGCTCTTAGGGGAGGGGCAGGGGCTGCTGGCGGGGCTTTCTGGAGAAGTCTGGGCCCAGGGTGCAGACAGGGTGGTGCTCCTGGCCTGGGCCCAGTAGAGATGGGTTCCTCTCTTCTTCGCAGTGAGTACAGCGGAGAGATCTTGAACAACTGCTGTGTGATGGAGTATCACCAGGCCACGGGCACCCTCAGCGCTCACTTCAGGAACATGGTGAGGACAGGGCCCCGCCCATGGAGGGAGGCCTGCCCAGAGCCGAGTCCTCTAACCAGCGGCTTTCTCCTCATTCCCCTCTGACCTCCTGCAGTCGCTAAAGAGGATTAAGCGCGCTGACCGGCGAGGCGCAGAGTCCGTGACAGAGGAGAAGTTCACGGTCCTGTTTGAGTCTCAGTTCAGTGTTGGCAGCAATGAGCTTGTGTTTCAGGTGAAGGTGAGACCCGGCTCCCCCGTCTCCTTGCCGGCTGCCCGGCTGGCTTGGGAAAGCCAGAGACTTGAATCCTCACACAGGCTCAGTCCAGTTACCCCGTGATGCTCTCAGAAAACCTAGTGTCACCCTGCTGGTGCCCATTTGCGAGGTTTTAATCCCGCACCAGCCCGCAGAATTTAGGCAATGGGCCAAGAAGAAATATGTTGTGTTTTTTGTTTGTTTTTGGTTTAGTTTTGCTGGGAGGGGCTTGAGGAATGAGGGTTGGGGGTCTCTGCCAAGAGGAGGGCAAGACAGTGGTCATATGCCCTCACCCCTCATTCCCTGGATTCCCGTAGACCCTGTCCCTTCCTGTGGTTGTCATTGTTCATGGCAGCCAGGACCACAATGCTACTGCCACCGTGCTATGGGACAATGCCTTTGCTGAGCCGGTGAGTCCCCATGAGACCCTCACCTCGGCCCCTCGGAGTTTCCCAGGGTCAGCCCCAACCCCAGGGCCCCTGCTGAGTGGTCTTCCCCAACCCTAGGGCCAGACCAGAGGTCAGGGGGCAGCTGGTGTGAACAGCCTGCCCTCGGCATGTCCTAGGCTCTGTCTGGGCTCTGGGTCAAGGGACTGGGGTCTCCTAGGTCTGTGAGCGTGGTCTTGGGGCTCTGGTCCCTGATCTCTCTCCCCAGGGTCCTGGTCTGGGTCTCCATCCCCGTATGCCCACCCCTCTGCCCCTGCCCCCAGCTCTTTCTTTCCCTTGCATTTTTGTCCCCTTTTCTGGACCTTTCTCAGTCCCCTCTATCTCTTGGTATCTGTGTCTGTGTGTGTGTAAATATCTCCTACTCCCTCAATCTGCCTTTTTTTCCTTTCTTCTCTCCCCACCAGGGCAGGGTGCCGTTTGCAGTGCCTGACAAAGTCCTGTGGCCGCAGCTGTGCGAGGCGCTCAACATGAAATTCAAGGCCGAAGTGCAGAGCAACCGGGGCCTGACCAAGGAGAACCTCGTGTTCCTGGCGCAGAAGCTCTTCAACAGCGGTAGCAGCCACCTCGAGGACTACAACGGCATGTCCGTGTCCTGGTCCCAGTTCAACAGGGTGAGGGACGCCGCCCGCTGCCTGCCTGGGACCACCCTGCCACCCTTCCCCCACCTCACACACAGGTTACTGCCCCTGGTCAGTGGCCCCCCTCTACTCCCATCCCCCCTCTTCTACAACCAGGAGAGACGGGGGCTAGTACCCCAAGGAACGCAGGCGGCCATGAGAGCCAAAGCAGGACGGTGGAAGGAACCCGGAGCTGGGAGTCAGGGTCCCTGGGCTCTAACCCTCGATGTGTTAACTAATTTGCCAGGCCCCTTCCCTCCTCTGTGCTGCGCTTTTCCCATCTGTAAAGCGAAGGGGTTGGGCAGGAATAACTTTGGAGGTCTCATCCAGCTTAGACAATTCTTTGCACCTCCGCCCCCCACCCCGTGGGGTTGTCCCGGACCCCTGTGTCTGCGAGGCAAGAGGCCAGTGTACTCTCTGGTTCCCTAGGATATGACCAGGGGCTGTGGCAGTTTGCTGGAGTGTGGGGCAAGTCGGATGAGGAACTGGGAGAAGGTCTGGGTGAGGACAAGAGGGCACTGAGTGTTCCCTGAACCACCCGTGACGACGGGGGCACAAGCCCTGACTTGGGGTTTCCTGGGGGCTCTCAGGAGAACTTGCCAGGCTGGAACTACACCTTCTGGCAGTGGTTCGATGGGGTCATGGAGGTGCTGAAGAAACATCACAAGCCCCATTGGAATGACGGGTGAGAGGAATGGGGTCTGGGAGGTCATGGGCTCAGGGGACAGGGGCTGCTGCCAGCAGTGACACTGTATGCTCGATGCACCCAGGGCCATCCTAGGTTTTGTGAATAAGCAACAGGCCCATGACCTGCTCATCAACAAGCCCGACGGCACCTTCTTGTTGCGCTTTAGCGACTCAGAAATAGGGGGCATCACCATTGCCTGGAAGTTTGACTCTCGTGAGTTCCCTACGTGCCCACACTCTAGCCCCAGTGGCCCTGTCTTCCATTTCCTCGTTGCCTATTCTCCATCAGGCCTGCATCCTTAGAAGGTATCCGGTGGGAGAGATGGGACCTGAGCTTGGAGGGTGGGAGGAGTGTTGCTCAGAAACACATTCCGTCTCTGTGGTTTTCCACTGGGGAGAACCTAAAATCATTGGCCTCCTGGACTCCAGAACTGCTGGGCGAGTCCTTCTCTGCCCTGACCCAGCCTTATTGGTATCTGCTTGCCCGTGGTCATTTCATTGCCCTATGCCGAGGAGCACAGGGGTGGGGTTGCCGTGCAGGCTAGTAAAAGCCCTGATGTCTCTGCAAGCCTGCCCTGAAGCCCCACAGCTCTGATCCTCCTCCCGAGGGCGGTGGGTTGTGGGAATGAGCTTGGCCTTTTCACAGCTGACCGTAACCTGTGGAATCTGAAGCCGTTCACCACGCGGGATTTCTCCATCCGGTCCCTGGCCGACCGGCTGGGGGACCTGAGCTATCTCATCTACGTGTTTCCCGACCGGCCCAAGGATGAGGTCTTCTCCAAGTACTATACTCCCGTGCTCGGTGCGTCCTGCCCAGATACTCCCGGGGCTAGGCAGTGGGGACGCCCCAAGAAGAGCCGAGGGGCTGTTTCCCCTGTGGGTGTTTGTCAGTGGGATGGTGCAAGGCACGTGGAGAGGATTTCAGGGCTCACAACTGAAGAAAGGGAAAGCAAAACCTCTGACCCAGCTTTCTTCCCTGCAAAGCAAAACACTGAGTGGGACCCACTTCTGTGCCCTTGGAGGAGGAGGCTGCAGTGCTGGGGGAGGAGCCATAACGCAAACCCACAGATGGTGGACTCCCATCTTGATCAGCTGCCCTCACCGCTCTCCACCCTCAAACCTACCCTCAAGTTGAGCGCAGGAAGCAAAATGAGACTGAAGCCAGGGCCTGGGTGGTGTTTACTGTCAGCGGGTGTTTATTGGGAATCTGGGAAATTTCATCCCTGCTGAGGCCGCATGGCAATGTGGGGGGAGGCAGACTGCATAGGTGGGTTTCCACTCCCCTGGGAGCTCCCAGAGACTTCAGTTCTCATCACTGTTCTCCCCCCACCCTCGGCAGCTAAAGCAGTGGACGGATACGTGAAGCCACAGATCAAGCAAGTGGTCCCTGAGTAAGTGTCCCGGGTCCAGCTCTGGTCTCCTGCTGCCTCTCTTCTCCTCTCACCCCCGCACCTGGCTCTCCTCACCCCTCACCGCCGCCCCTCCTGGGGAGGGAGCTGGGCTTGGTCACCAGGGCGTCGGTACCCGGGGCCCCGCTCCTGCAGCCAGGGCCCCAGCCCTAGGGGGCACTCCGTCCTTCCGCACCTGAAAAAGACACGAAGGTGGCCCCCGAGCCCCTCCCCGCTGAGGCTGCGCTCTGCTTCCTCTCGCAGGTTTGTGAGCGCCTCTGCGGACTCTGCCGGGAGCAGCGCCACCTACATGGACCAGGCCCCCTCCCCAGCCGTGTGCCCCCAGGCTCATTATAACATGTACCCACAGAAGTAGGTTGTGTTCTCCTGGGGCTCAGAGGGGAGGAACTGGGCACTTGGCCTCAGGCTGGGCACCAGAGGGCTGGTGGGCAAGGAACCCAGAGCTCCTCTAGGTCTGAGATCACCCAGGCCAGGCCGGGCTCTGGCACATGCCCAGGTGCAGGGTGGGTGAGATCAGCCAATGAAAAGCATAGAGCATTTTGAAACTACACGTAGCAGGGTCCTTGCTCTGGTGCTGACTAGCTGTGTGACCTTGGGGAAATTACTGAGCCTCTCTGATGCTCAGTCTCCTCATCTGTAAAATGGAGGCAAAAAGACCTACCACGTGGGACTGGGGTCAGGATTAAGTGAGAGAGTGCAGGTAGAGCATTTAGCACAGATGAGACTGTTATAAGGGCTTGATACAGGGTAGCTATGGATGGGGTAGTTGTTCTTAGGAGTTGTGTGGGAACAGGGTGTCCATTGCTCCTCTCTGGAGTTCCCAGAGAAGAGAATTAATTCTCTTCCAAGCTGTGGGTGGCCTGCTGCTGTGGGACGACCGCAGGCTTGGGAGTCACAAAGACCTGAATTCCAATCCTGACTCCACCTGCCAACCAGGTGGCCCTGAACAAGTTTCCTAACATGATTGAGTCTCAGTTTCTTCCTCTATAAAGTGGAGTAAATACCTGCCTTATGAGTGGCTGTGAGGGTTGGTGTAACGTGGTTGAAAGGCCCAGGCCTTCATAGGTGCTCAGTGAATGGTGCCTGGGGTTTCACGGGCAGCTCATTCACCCAACTACCTCATTCCCCTGAGATCGCTCGATGAGGTCGTGAGCGATGAGACTAGAACTGGGGTGTCTCCCAACAAGCCAGTGACTGACTTATGCAACTTGGGGTGTGAGAGTCTAGCCAGAGCGGGTCCTGCTCCCATGAGACTCTGGTCTGAGTGGGGAGCAGGCTGGACGCTGTCCCCCAGGAGCTTGGGGCTGTGAGGCATGCCAGCTCCCTCTGACGTCCCTCTCTCTCTACCAGCCCTGACCCCGTCCTCGACCAGGATGGAGAATTTGACCTGGATGAGACCATGGATGTGGCTCGGCACGTGGAGGAACTCTTACGACGCCCTATGGACAGTCTGGACCCCCGCCTCTCCCCACCTACTGGTCTCTTCACCTCTGCCAGAGGCTCGCTCTCGTGAATGTTTGTTTGAACCCTGCACTTCTCTTTGGAAACGTGCAGGGTTCATATTCATTGTGATTTTGTTTCTGTATCGCTGTGCATATTGATGCCTTTGCCGGCAGCACGTGTCCACATGCATATGCGCACGTTTGTGTACAAGGTGTGCCTGCCTCGCCTTTGCAGTCCTAGGTATGTGGCTGCCTTTTTCTTCAGATGGAGGCATTCCAAGAGCCCACTGGGTCTGTCTGTTGTGGAAGAGACTGAGCTGCTTTTGTAGTTGCAGGTACGCGGGGCAGGCAAACCTGTTCCTGCCAGAGCCTTTGTCTGCTCAGTAGCTATTTGAATGGAATGATTCAAGAAGGGAAAGGAGACAGGTAACGTCTCTAAGCTCAAGTTTTACTCCTGAGTTAGATGCTTTGCCTCCCAAGTGTGTGTGCATATATATATGTGCATCTGCTCTCGTACAGAGCAACATACACGTTGGTCTCTTGGTTCTTCCCCTCAGGATGGAGGTTGGAAGAATCAAGAGACCAGTTCTGAGTGATATTTTATACTTTATCTAATGACTATGGACTCCAGGCTTTTTGTGAACTGAGAGCTAATCTAGGCCATCCGCGGTCATGTCCCTAACACGGCAGAAATGGGTCTTTTGCATCGGGCCTGTCAGAGCTGCTCTGAGGATGGAGTTTCTTGGCCTCTTGGTCCCCAGCCAGGGGGCTCCAGCTTCAAGTGTATAATGCTGCTGCCCACATTCCTGCTCTTTCCATCCCATATCCCCTTTCCTCCATCTGGCCCCAGCCTTCTTTCCTCACCTCTCTGTCTGCAACCTTGCTTACTTATGGAAGAGGTGGGGGTGGGGAGTGGGGGAGGGACTGGTCTAGGATGTGGTGAACAGGAGGCCCAGGACTTGCATTGTTGATCCCCAAACCCCTCCTGGAAAAAACCTGCAGCAAGAGGCAGCACCAGGGGCTTGCAGCTCACCTGTGGAGTTTGGAGGGAGGGGTAAAAGCTGATCGAGGCCCACTCTGCTGGGAGGTAGAACCTGGAATAGGCCTCATCACAGTTGCATAACTGGCTGTGGTCTGCGAAGGCCTCGCTCCCGACCTCACATGCTCCTCCCTCTGAATCTGCCACACGCAGCCAGGGGCAGCTGACAGTGGAAGGAGTCCCAGAAGGAGTCCCAGGTTGAAACACCTCTCAAGGAAGGTGGGGACAGGAAGCATCTGTACAAAGGCTACACATTTGTGTAAACAGTGTTTTTGAATAAAATATTTTTTTTCATAAATTTGCTGGAATGGCTCCTGGGTCATGGGGACCGCTGGAGTCGTTTTGTTCCTCTCCTCCCGCGTAGCTGGTGCTGTAAGGTGTAGCTTGAAGTTGCCAGTCGGCTCCCATTTCTGTGGTTTTAAGGGTGCCATCCCCACCCCAATACTTTAAGTGCCTCTCAGAAGACTAGAGAACTTGAGGTCTTGGGAAAAGATGGGGCAGGAATTACCGGGGGCAGGGGAGAACTTTGGTCCCTGCCTCTCCTTATGAGCTGCTGCTATAAGCAGTCTCCAAGGTGGCAGCTGAGCGCCAGCGCCCAGACCATTCTCAACCCCTCTGGATGGAAGATGGGGGGGGGGGGGGAAGCTGCAGGAGCCTCACAACGGTCCTTCCTCCCCCGGCCTCTTCCCAGAGACCAGCAGGTGGCACCATCCCCCTGTTCCTGCGTTTTCAAAGGGTCGGCCTGAGCCTGGGAGGGAGGCTGGGGCGAGAGGACAGTCTCCCCATTTGGCCCCATTGTCATCGGGGATCCAGGGGCTGTCGCCGAGGGCCGGGGCGGGGGCGGGGAACAAGAGCCTATGACAAGGTTTCTTCAGGGCTAAAAGCGAGGGAAGAAGGGCTTGCAGCCCGCCGGGACAGGCGCAGGGGCCCGGCGCGGGGCTGGCGGGGGTGGGCGGGAGGGGAGGCAGCCGCCGAGCCGGGAGCGCGCTAATCTGGAGCTGCATCTCTGCAGGGGAGGGCGGCGCGTATCTCCCGCACCGGCTCGTCTCCATGGTGTTCGGCGCGGGGGGGGAGGGAGCCAGGCGAGTGCGCGCCGCGGCCTGTGAATTATCACCACCCACGCCCGGGGCCCGCAGCCGCGGCCCGTTAAGTGTTGACCCACGGAGCGAACTGAAGAGAAAGTGATAATGGAGCCAACTGTGGAAGGGGAGGCCTGGGGTGGTGGGAGTGTCTGCGCCCCAACCCCTCTTAGGTAGCTTATCTGACCCCAGACAGGACACCGCGCCTTGCAAAGGTCCCGGGAGGGAGGGCGGAGGGAGGCAGGAAGAGGGAGCAGGAAGGCCTCCACTCAAGCTGCCTCCGTGCGGGAGGGGCCGGACCCCTGGCTCCTCCAGGTACCCCTGAGCTGGAGGCTGGCGGCTAATGTTAAGATGGGAGGCGCTCGGTGCCCCAGAGGCGGGCCTGTGTCTACTCAGGCATGAGAGGCTAAGGCCACCAGCCCGGGGCCGGGGTCAACCACCTCCTCTCAAGACCCAGGCTCAGCCTGTAAGACTCCTTCAGAGCTGAAGCAGGGGAAGAGGGACCACCCCGAGCCTCCAGCCAGACAGAGCTGCCGTGCCAGCAGACGGTTGCTATATAACTTTTATTTCTGGAAGGTAAAGTAGATACAGCAATATACAAAAAAAAAAGAAAGAAAAAACCCACAATAATATAAATTTTTACACTATTAAGTAAGTATACATTGAAATTTGAATGCAGTGGTCAGGACAGCATCTCACAAACCACCGTGTGGGTAGCTTAGGCATCCATGGGAATCCCTCGGCTGGGCAGGGGTCAGGCAGGCAGGTCCTGGAGGACTGCGTTTTTTAAAGGAGGGACCAAAACAAGTCTCAGCTCCTCTCAGGGCTTTTGCTATAATCAGGGTTAAAACCAGAAACACATGCGACCTAAAAGCCACAGGGTTTTAGTTTCTGCTCCAGCGAAGCCGGGATCCTCACCTGAGGTCCCTCGAGTTAAGCTAATTATGATCTAGAGAGTGTTGCTAAAGGGAGATTGCTCCGTACCACCTATGAAACCCCTGTTTGTCTTGGAGAGAAGGTCTCGTCCCCTTCCTTCAAAAACTGGTGAATTTGGGTGTAACGCACAGCATTCCCTAGAAACTCTGGTCGACTGAGACAAGGTAGTTGTGGACCACCCAGTCTGGCCGTGCCTCTGGGTCGGCCCCGTGTCAGAGCCCACCTCTCACGCTGCTAAGTGTTCTGAGGTGCACAGGAAAGGCCAGTTGTCCTGCCTCACCGAGGGGGCCCCCACGTGGAGGAGAGGTCACCAGCGCTGGGGGAAGGCTGGGATGTACACTCCCTCATGTGAGGGACGGACCTCGAGTTTATCACTAAGCCTCTGCCCCTGGCTTAACCAAGTGAAGAAGTGATTACAGGTGCCGTAGGAAATCACCAAGAAGCTGGGATAAGAACCATAATCCCTGAGCTCAACTAGACCCTTGACTGGGGCCCCACAGTCTGACTCATGTTCGACCTGTAGCTCTCTCCCTCTTATTCCAGGAGGTCCTGAGACCAGGATGCCTAAAGCAAGCAGGACAAGGGACCTTTAGACATGGGAAGGAGCCATGCCACAAGAGGGGCTCAGGTAAACTGGGGGAGAGGAAGAATCATCCCATCCCTTAGAAGGCACCCACAGAAACCACGCAGGCTCGGAAACAGGGGCGAAGTCCGGGGAGGAAAGGCGAGCAGGCTGTAAGTGCCCCTCTGCCCAGCCTCACCTACTAACAGGCCAGTAGGTGAAAGGGGAAAATAAAAATTTTGTTTATCAAAAAAAGTCTAAAATGTTTAGGGTCTCCTTCAACCTTCCTATATGAAAACCAAAGGCCAAGCCACATCTTCAGATGTCTGTCAAGGGCTGGATCTGAAGCTCATGTCAGGGTTTATATAAATTATCAGCCTGAAGAAAGCTGAATGCCTAAAGCACCAAGGAGGAAATTAACTGAGTTTTCTTAAATACAGAAAAGGCTATGCTGATACAGTGTTTTTTTGCCCTTTAAAAAAATTTTTTTTTTTAAGTTTAAAAAGAAACCTAGAGGCTTTGAAAGTCCTATCTTCTATTTGAACGTTAGCAAGGTTAAAAGTGCAATGCCAGGAGGATGTAGCTAGAGACAACTGTGGCATTAGCTTACAGAAATAGGCAGAGGGATGCCGCTGGCACCAGAGGCACTTGTCTGACAATGACAACAAGCTGCTGAGAAAGGCGGGCAGGGGGGCAAAAAAGACATTTCCTCTTTCTCCCTCTCGCCACCCCTTCCACACCCCCTGGTCACAGCCTCAGAGAGCGCATTCTTATTTGCATTTAGATAAAAGCATATCACCCACATTCACTCATTTCTCTATTTTAAAAAGTGCCCAGATTGCTCAAAGATAACCGAAATGAGAGACGACAAAAAAATCTGGAACCACAGAGTTGGGAGTTGAGCTGATCTGGGCTTGGGCTGTTTAAGGGCTGGTGGAACATGGGTCGGTGCCTCTGTCACCTCTCTCTGCAGCTTCCATCCTCGGCTTCTCACATGGGGGAGGTAGCGCACTCCGAGGTCAGCTCCATGTCGAACGTGAGGGATTCTGGGGGGACACACAGGGAGAGCCAGTTCAGTCGCCTGAGCCCCACAGCTGGCGGGGCCCGCACCCCTAGCTTTTCGGGGCACAGAAGCTCGGGCTGCCACTGCCATCTAGTCTCCTGCCCCTGCCCCTTGATCATCAAGATGGGGTCAGAGAATCCAGATTCTCTCCCCTCCCTTCTGGAAGGGCTCAGCCTTCTTCCTACCTTAACTCATTCCCAACTCTCCAGGTTTAAAGAAGCTCTAAGGCTGCCCTGTTGAACACAGCAGGCTGGAGCCACTTGGGATGTGACTAGTCCCAACCGAGGCAGGCTGTGGTTATAAAACGCGGGGCAGGTTTCAAAGACTTAGTACGAAAGAAAACCTCATTCATTTTTTTCTTTTTTTTTTAGCTGCACCGCACGTGCATCTTGCGGGGATCTTAGTTCCCCGACCAGGGACTGACCCCATGCCCCATGCAGGGCAAGCGTGGAGTCCTAACCACTGGACCGCCAGGGAAATCCCACACTCATTTGTCTCTAACGTGCAGAAATGCCACTATTTTGGATTTACTGGGCTAAAGAAAATACATTTGTAAAATTAACCTCACCTGTTCCTTTTCACTGTTTTTAACATGGCTGCTAGAAAATTTACTCTGGCATGGGGGTGCACGTGTCTATAGGACAGCGCTGTTCGAGAACTCCTTCTATCAATCCAGGTGCCCCTCGCTTGGCTGTGCACATGGGAGCATCACACCAAGGGGACTGACTTCCCTCACAGGGACAGAGTCCGGCAACCACATACTCACCAAATTGCCCTCCTGCTGAGGGTTCAGCACCTTCACCATTATTTCCAAACTGCATCAATGAATCTAAAGTGCGGGGGGACATCGGCAGGTCAATGGTATTGCTGCAGGTCGTTCTGTAGGAAATGGGGAGCAGCAGGAGGGGAGAGGGCCGGGTTGACAAGACACAATGGAGAAAAAAAAAAAAGAACAAAACACACACACACAAGCCATCAAACTCTGGTCTCCAACAGAAAAATAAAAGCTCAAGCTTTTTAAACACACGAGGTCACTTTGAGGACTGAGCATAGCTCGGAGGGTTCCAACCCTTCACAAGAGAACTCTCACCCGGTGTCCTGTTCCCAGGGATAACTGAGGACATTAGAAATGGAGGCAAAATTAGGAAGGGAAGCCACTTACGGTGTCACACAGATGAACTTAGTCTTCAGGTATGGGGCAGCACCTGGGTAGAAGAAAACTCGGGCTTACTGACTGTGATTCCACTCTTGGGTACCAGGCAGCAGGAAGCCGGCTGCCTCCCCAGGGCTGACTTGAAACTCACTCCATCCTTGACCAGAGATTGTCTGGAACTTCCGTCTCCCCTCAGGGCTGCCCTCCCTCACTGTATACTCTGATGTTCCAGTGCTTGCAGCTGGAAGCTCAGTTCTTTCCCTCAAACCTTCCTGAGACTTTTCAGCCGACCCTGGTCCCACCCGAGCTCAGATGAGCTCCAGCCTTGTGTTCATTCTTCCCCTCGATCATGTAAAGAGTTTAACTGCCTGGATGTGGACTGAGGATTGTATTCTAGCCTGGTTGTATCTCTTAGATTGAGTCCCCCGCATGCAGGACTGAGCCCACGCAGTCTGGGCACCCCGTCCTGCTCAGATACCGAAGTCACCGAGTCTTTAAGGGAGCG